CCAAATTTATTGAACCCCTTGAATCACTTTTCCATCTCCCTGCGGATATGAGACTCCAAAGCTGTGCTACAACTACCGCGTAACACTTTGGGCATAATCAGCACCTTGGGACCCAACTAGGAAGGACCCTACCGAATTGAAAAAGGAAATTCGTTCTGGCACCTACTGGATCAAAGACATGGATGGTAAGACTCAGTCTCATCCATGGAACATTGAAAATCTCAGAAGTGCTTTCCCATGTAATCTACTGTTGGAAGTGCTTTCCCAGCCTTTGTAAATCAATAAAAATTGCGTTTCAGAAATATGCTGGGTACAAAAGCGTGGGCGCCTCGGAGGAGAGGATGGAGCCTTAAAAGAAGGTCACCTCGTTTGAACTACGAGGTGTACATCACAAGCCTCCCTTTGATGAAGCTGAACGTCAAAGGGAGAAGCCTCTGCTTGGATGAACCATCCACCAAGCTGCGAAGCGTGGGCACCTCGGAGGAGAGGATGGAACCTTAAAAGAAGGTCACCTCGTTCGAACTCCACAGCGTACCTCACAAGCCTCCCTTTGGTGAAGCTGCACGCCAAAGGGAGAAGCCTCTGCTTGGATGAACCATCCACCAAGCGANCGGAGGAGAGGATGGAACCTTAAAAGTAGGCCACCTCGTTCGAACTCTTAAGCGTACATCACAAGCCTCCCTTTGATGAAGCTGAACGTCAAAGGGAGAAGCCTCTGCTTGGATGAACCATCCACCAAGTTGGGAAGCGTGGGCGCCTCGGAGGAGAGGATGGAACCTTAAAAGAAGACCACCTCGTTTGAACTCCGAGGTGTACATCACAAGCCTCCCTTTGATGAAACTGATGTCAAAGGGAGAAGCCTCTGCTTGGATGAATCATCCACCAAGCTGGGAAGCGTGGGTGCCTCGGAGGAGAGGATGGAACCTTAAAAGAAGGCCACTTCGTTTGAACTCCAAGGTGTACATCACAAGCCTCCATTTGATAAAGCTGAACGTCAAAGGGAGAAGCCTCTGCTTGGATGAACCATCCACCAAGCTGGGAAGCGTGGGCGCCTCGGAGGAGAGGATGGAACCTTAAAAGAAGGCCACTTCGTTTGAACTCTGAGGTGTACATCACAAGCCTCCCTTTGATAAAGCCGAGCATCAAAGGGAGAAGTCTCTGCTTGGATGAACCATCCACTAAGTTGGGAAGCGTGGGCATCTTGGAGGAGAGGATGGAACCTTAAAAGAAGGCCACCTCGTTCGAACTCCGAGGCGTATATCACAAGTCTCCCTTTGATGAAGTTGAACGTTAAAGGGAGAAGCCTTTACTTAGATGAACCATCCACCAAGTAGGGAAGCATCAGTAAGATAGGTTCGGAATAGGAAGTATATCAGAACCTTCATTTGAGAGCTATCAAGACTGACAAATTTCAATTGACAAAGGTTAATACTCAATTTTAACTTTGGTTGGTTATAATTATTACATTGGTTAAGTCGTTCAGTTAGACGAAGCGTAAACAGTTGGAAAATACAAAAGACAAGATAGAAGAAGTGAGGCAAATGAGAGTTCATTCATTCATTCAAATAAAAAATAAGTTACAACTGGAGCTGAGGCCATAGGCCTTTACAAAATTTGTGATTTAGAAGGGGGTGGAGGAGCTGGAGCTTCAAAAGCAGGGGCCTCAGCTGGCACTAGGGTCCCCTCCATAGGCTGAGGTACTTCGGTTGGCGTGTTGTCAGATTCGAGTTCTATTACTTCGCCTTCCTCAGTTGGGGTTTGAGGAACCTCCTCCTCAATAAAGTCAGCTTTCACATCGAAGATGTCCAGCCCCGGATGCAACTCCTCAATCCTCTCAAAGACCTCCTGGTAGGCCACCCTACTCCAGTATATTCCGAAGCGGCGGTACTCTTCAGTGAGATGGATATTGGCTATGTAGTTCTTCACTGCAATAGCACCTGCCTTGACAACATCCGTTTCGTACTTCTTCACATCAGAGGCATACCATTAGAGCTCCTTCTTCATNTACTCTTCAGTGAGATGGAAATTGGCTACGTAATTCTTCACTGCAATAGCACCTGCCTCGACAATATCTGCTTCGTACTTTTTCACCTCGGAACCATGCCATTGGAGCTCCTTCTCCATAAACTTATTGGCATCCCGTGCCCCAGCAAGCTCAAGGTTTGCCTTCTCTAGAGCCTCGGTAGCGACCTTTTGGTGGTTATCAGAAGTTTCCACCTTTTTCGTAAGTGCAGCCACCTCATATTGGGCCTCGTGTACCTCTTTCTTCATCGCCTCTACCTCGGCCAGTGCGGACTCTAGCTTGGCCTCATTTTCATCAGACCTGACCCTTAGGTCAATGTTCATCTCTTTCTTTTGCTGGAGCTCCGTCTTCACTGCCTCCAACTCATCACGTGAGGCCCGGTTCCTTGATTGAATATCTGCAAGGACCGTTTGGCACTCCAATGCCACGCCAAAGGCCCTGGCCGATTGGCTCACCAAAGTGGCAGTGAGATCCACTGCATCACATGTGGCTACATAATTTTGCCACCTCTCAGTCCAGAATTTGTTAAACCCCTCGGTGGCACCCCTCACCTCGGATGGGAGCATCTCGATAAGTGTGGGGACGATCTTGTCGTCCCTGCCCCTAGAAAGTTCCCAGATTTCCCTAGGGTCCTTTCAACTTTCTTTGAGGCCTCAGACGCCTCCGTCGCCTCTTTTATGATTTTTCGGGACTGAGCCACCATCGCTGCGTCAATGGAAGATTGGAGGAGCTTCGGCTGTTGGGGCCCTCCTTTAGCAGAATGGGACACTGTGGTCCCAAAACTTGACCCGTCCCCATGGACCAATTTCCTCTTCTTCTGAGGCTCCTCCACCACGCCTTTGCCCTTGGCAACAGACGGTTTACCTCCTTTGGGAGCGTCCTCAACCGCCTTTTTTTGGGCCTCGTCCTCAGCCTCCATTTCATGTTTATTCTTGCTGAGGCGTTCCAACTTGGCTTTGGTTTGTTTGGCCCCTGAAGACCCGGGCTCTAGAGCCTTGGCCTCGGCCGTGGATGTGGCCCTTATGATACTGGCCATGTCAGGTAGGGCATAATCCTTCTTCAAAAAATTATCTGCAATCATTCAGAAAAGAA